AAAAAAAAGAAAGGATGATGATGTCAGCATGACATCACCCACGGAGGCCGGCTAGGGTTGGCGACCTCGCCGGAGCTAGGGACCTTGGCCGGGTGATTGGAGGACACCTACGCGTAGAGGACGACGAGGCGAACCCAACGGTACTCACCACAATGACAAACGACGAACGATGATGGCCGGCGACGAAGAGGACGGCGGCGGCGGCTCGGCTTGACGGCGACGGCGGAGCTCCGGTGGTCGGCGGCGAAGGGGGACGGGCGGCCGAGGTTCTCCTCACCACGGCGCACCTAACGGCGGCGGCGGCAAGCGGCGGCGACGACGCAAGCGACGGCGCGGCGTGGCTGAAGACGGCCGGCGGCGGCGGCGAACTAGGTGCGCGCGGCGGCGACTCTACGGAGCACGGGAGACCACGGGAGATGGGGCAAACGAAAGAGGGGAACTAGGGGGTCCTATTTATAGCCTTGGATTGAAGAGATCGGACTCCTCCCGCAAGAAATCGATCCGAGAAAACTCGGTTTTGGAGATAAACTCGAAAACGAGTTTGATTCGGGCAAGATACTCAACCATTTGCTCCGATTCTTGAGGGGAAAGATAGAGGAGGATAAGAGGAATATTTCCCCTCAACTAATTTTAGAAAAACACAAGGGGAAAGGTCAGATTTGGAGGAGAAAAACCGAGCCAAATCGGTCTCAGTTCGGCTGCTAGAGGTGGAAGATAAACAGTGTCGAGGGAGGCAAATTAGACTTTTCGTCTTGGGCTGGCTGAAAACAAAGCAAAGAAAGAAAGAGAAGGGGGAAGCTCGGCTGGGCCGACTTGGGCTGCACGGCCGTGCAGACAAAAGAGGGAGATGGGCTGGAAAGGGCCCAAGACTAGGAAGAGGATTATTATTACTTTTCCAATTAAATTAATCAATGAAATGATCTTTGAATTGTTACGCCGCCCAGAAATTCACTAGTAATTTCCGAACTTATTTGTGCATAAAATCCTCGTCCAGGAATCAGCCGAGGTACACAAACTGACAATTTAATATACAGAATCATCACTATTTATAGTGTTACATACTTTCAAAAGAAAAGAAAACTGCAGCGGAATTACGGTCTAGCGAAGCTCCGGCTCCACTCCCACAGGCAGCTCAACTGGGGTATAAGCCAAACGTCTTCTCCTTCTGGATCCTTTTTCTTCAACTGAGGTTGATTGATTATTGCAAGAATGAGCATATGACATACTCAACAAGCCACACAGCAAATATGCAAGTGCACAAGGATACCAAAGGATGGCATAATATAGGCTCATTTGCAAAAGCAGCATTTAGCAAAACATTTAAGAGGAGTAAAACAGTGGAGTAATTAATCAGAAATTTTAATCAACACTGAACAGCACACCCATGCTGCACAGGCCCAACCATCCTGAACAACCATACCCGGCTGTACAGATCTAACTCCAAACCAGGAGCTAAGCAAATTATTACCAGATATAACATCCATAATTATTGTGAGAGGTGTGAGACTAATCACGAAAAACATTGCTCAACCCGCCCATAACCGCGGGCACGGCTATTCGAATAGTTTTACTCTGGCCAGAGGTGTACCACTGTACCCACAAGACACAGCCTCCTCATCATGTCTACCATGCGTCGCGATCCTGGAAAGTACCCGAATAGAGGCTGTGACAATACCCTTTGCACAACACAACTCACCACAGTGCACCATTCCTGGATCATAATCACCCCCTCTATAAATATAACCAGAGGCATGGACTCCCCAGCGACCCCCACGGACTTCTCGCCGCTTCTCAGTCTGGTGCCCCGCAATGAATCATGCTATACAGAAGGTAAAGCCGTTGCCCATGCTGGCTTGTGGTTGGTACGGTTAATGTTTCACAACAGTAGCTCGTGAACCGGTCCTTAATTATCATGAGCATGACCTTCAAAACCATGTGCTCACAACCCACCATTGTCAAGTTTTAGTTATCAATTAATTATCATAACATGATTAACCATCGTGAGCTACGATTAAACCATCATTAAACAATGAGTCATAAGTTATCCCAATAGTGTGCTAATGTTTCTAAGCATGGCTAAGCAATCATATCTAATATCTAGCTGAACCAATATATAAAGCTCAACTAGTCAAGTTATAATAACCCAAGGTATCAAGGAATAAAGTAATCAATGCAAATTGGCCATAACAAAGGAATAGTTTCACACCACCCGGTGACATTCGAAAATAAATGCACAGTTGAAATAAATAGAGAATTTAAATATAGGATCAACATGCTCAAAGGATTGTGTTTAGGATCTGTGTGACTTGCCTTGCAATAATCGGTCTTCAATTAATCTTCTTGAATACTTCCGGCGCACTCACGAACCTTCGCAACGACGGAAACGACAAACTAACACGCAAAACGAAGAAAAAGACTAATAAAAACCAAATAAAAAGTACATATAAAGTAAACAAACATGTAGATCCTGATTTTAGATGAATTTAGCAACTTGAACCACTCAAAACCGAGTTACGATGATTTAGTTATGAATTTCCGAAGATTTAATCTATTAGAAAAACAGGAAAAAGAAAAAAACGATGATGACGTCATGATGATGACCTCATCAATGGCCGAACCAAGATGGCGACCTCGCCGGAGATTGGATGGTCGGCTGCGACTTTGGAGGACAAGAACACGTAGAGGACGACGAGACGAACCCAACGGTACTCACCCTCGAACCAAACGACGAACGACGACGGCCGGCGACGAGGTCTAGCGTCGGCGCGGCTTCGGTCGACGGCGGCGACGGGGCTGCGGTGGTCGGCGGCTTCGGGGAGATAGCGGCCGGGCTTCTCCACCCTCCCGCGCACCTAACGGTGGTGACGGCGACCGGCGGCGACGGCGGAGGCAGCGGCGCGACGCGGATGGAGCTCGGCCGGCGACTACGGCGGGGTGGAGCACGTGGCGGCGGCGCTACGAGGCACGGGAGACCACGGGAGAGGGGGCAAACGAAAGAGGAGGACTAGGGGTCCTATTTATAGCCTTGGATTGAAGAGATCGGACTCCTCCCGCAAGAAATCGATCCGGGAAATCAAAAACTCGGTTTTGGAGATAAACTCGAAAACGAGTTCGATTCGGATAAGATACTCAACGATTAGCTCCGATTTTTGGGGATAAAGATAGAGGAGGATAAGAGGAATATTTCCCCTCAACTAATTTTAGAAAAACACAAGGGGAAAGGTCAGATTTGGAGGAGAAAAACCGAGCCAAATCGGTCTCAGTTCGGCTGCTAGAGGTAGAAGATAAACAGTGTCGAGGGACGCAAATTAGACTTTTCGTCTTGGGCTGGCTGAAAACAAAGCAAAGAAAGAAAGAGAAGGGGGAAGCTCGGCTGGGCCGACTTGGGCTGCACGGCCGTGCAGACAAAAGAGGGAGATGGGCTGGAAAGGGCCCAAGACTAGGAAGAGGATTATTATTACTTTTCCAATTAAATTAATCAATGAAATGATCTTTGAATTGTTAAAAATACTTCCTATGCTCAAATAATTCCAAGAAAAATCTTGAACATACTTGGACACCCAAAGTATTTAACAATATTAAAAACAGACCATTTAATGATTAATTTAATATGTGGGTAATTACTGAAATGCTCTTTGTATGATTAAAAATTAAGAATTGAGCTCCGAAACATCTGAGAAAATTTCAGAGAGTGTAATTAATCATGGAGAATTTAATCAAAATTAAATCCATCCATGCTTTATATTTAGGAAATTTTATTTCCCACATTTAACTTCACTTGTAAATTAATGAACATTTAATATAAATTCTAATAATAATTTATTAAATAATTTATAAATCCTGAAACAAAAATCAGGATGTGACAGTGTGAGAGGTATTGTCACAGTTCCTTTCCAAGGTACCGTGGTGGTACTAAGGCGCATGGTGACATGTTGTGGAGCTGTGTCTTGTGGGTACAGTGGTACACCTCTGATCAGAGTAAACTATTCGAATAGCCGTACCCGCGGTTATGGGTGAGTTTAACAATATTTTTCGTGATTAGTCTCACACTACTCATTAATGATAATATTGTGTTAATTTGACTCCTGGTTTGGAATGATATATTCCTGGTATGGAGGTTTGATTTGTACAACCGGGGTTGGTTGTTCAGATGAGGTTGGGCCTATGCAACACAGTTGTGTTGTATGGTGTTTATTTAATACTGATTAATTATTCAACTGTTTTATTATTCTCTCAAAGGTTTAATAAATGTTATTTATGCAAATGAGCTTTACTATGCCATCCTTTGTTATCCTGTGCACTTGCATATTTGTTGTGTGGCTTGTTGAGTATGTCATATGCTCATTCTTGCAATATTCATTCATCAGAGGAGGAGTATTTCAGTGAAGGTAATGATTTGGAGGACTAGGCTTTGTCCGGGTTAAGTTGCTTGTGGAGTGGAGTCGCCATAGCTGTTCTGTATTTTGTTTTATTTCCGCTGCGTAGAATTTTATTCTTTGAGAGGAACTATCCACCTCTGTAATAATTTGCTATTTTGCGAATATTAATTAGCTGTTTAATAGTACTCTATTATCAATTTGTTATTGTGTGCCTCGGCTGATTCCTGGACGAGGATGTAACACACATGTAAGCGTTTGGAATTTTGTATAGAAATTCCGGGCGTGACAGTGCTCTATCCAATTTTGCGGTTGAAGAATATTATTGGAACCTACCTAGTACCCATATTCTAGGGACGTAAAGTAGACTTCTCCAAAAAAAAAAAGAAAAAGAAAAACCACAACAGGCTTCATCAGCCGTGGTTTCCTGCTTGTCGAAAACCGATCCCGTCCAGCGACCAGTCCCTATCAAACCGTCCTTCCAAGCATTTGAATAATCATTTCATTTTTTTTCTTCCAAAACAAACATCCATATTGGATTCCCACGTTTTTCTTGAACTAACCTCCAAAAAAAAAAAATCTTCAGTATCACTCCATCGTCGTCGTACCATGCACACAGGAGTTGTAGCCTTCTCATTGGCTGAATTGTTGCTGCCCCACTCTTTCCACGGACACAAATAATGGTGCTCCTCCTCCTCCTCCTCCTCCCACCATCGCCACCATTGCAAGGAGATCCCCTCCTCTCTTCGCCGCCGCACCGGAGGTGAGGTAGACGAAGGTTAGTTTCCACCGGAGTTCGTCGGCGTCGGATCTGAAACCAACCCCCGCTAATCTTCCCCTTCGTACTATCTAGCTAGCTAGGGTTCTTGATTTCTTCGCCACCAGAATCGCGCGCTGTGTCGTCGTCGTCGCATCGACTGTTCTTTTATATCTTCCGTTTCGTTGTTTTTTTAAGTTAATTGTACTTTGATCCATATTTTATATTATTAAAATTTCACTTTGGATAATTCTCTAGCTAATACTTTCATTTTGGACCAGATAAGATTATCGTTGTTGCACTTTTGGATCATCTCAAATCACTTCTCCAGCGACATCTACATAGTCTACACGTAAGTTGAGAAGATTATCATAAAAGAATAGTCTACACGTAAGTCGGAAAGATTATCGGTTTAAAGATATTTATGTGCTCGAGGTAGTAAAGTGTCTTGCTGATTTGGTGTGTGTTTGTCAGCAATGGCGTCGCGGAGCCAGTGCGCCAAGGTGAGCGGCGAGGCGGGGACGACGGCTTCCCCCTCCGCCGCCGGCGGCGGCGAAGGCGGCGGCGCGGCGCTGCCGGCGGACGTGCTGTTCGAGGTGCTGCTGCGGCTGGGGCCCAAGGACGTGTGCCGCCTCCGCGGCGTGTGCAGGTCGTGGCGGGCGCTCACCACCGACGCGACGTTCGTCGCCGCGCACGCCGCGCGCCACCGCGGCCCGCTCCTCGCCGGCGGCGTGCTCGACTTCGACGTGTTCCCCTCCGTCGACGTCCTCCTCATGGACCTCTCCGGCAGCGTCGTCAAGCGCATCCGCCACGCCGCCACCCACCTCGTCCTCCCCACCACCAACCTCGACCTCCTCTGCGTCACCGAGGTCTACACCTGCAGGGCCACCCTCCTCAACCCGATCACCGGCGCCGCCGTCCACCTGCCGGAGCCGCTGTCGACGCCGCACTCCCTCCGGGGAAGATCTCTGAGCGACTTCGACGGCTCCTTCAAGTACGGCAGGGACAGCAATGGCGATTACAAGGTGCTCCGCGTCCTCACGGATTGCCACAACAAGCAATTCCCCGAACAGCTGTTCGAGATCTTGAGTCTGGACGAGAGCAGCAGATACCATATGCGGTGGAGGGCCAAGAAGGCGCTGCCGATGTGCGTCCGGAGGGACGCCATCGGCGGCGTCGTCATCAATGGCGTCGTCTACTTCTTGCTGGATGGCCGTCCCAATGGCGTCAAGAACGCGCATCGCGAATCCTACGAGATGGATCACATGGCCCTGTTCGATCTCTGCTCCGAGAGGTGGATATCATACCTGGAGGGACCAATGGCGACCCATCCGGAGATGAACAACATCGATGAGATCCTCCCTGAGCCCCTTGAGATGTCGGTGTACCAGAATCTGTCATTGTCCGAGCTGAGTGGTGCATTGGTTGTAGCTCAGTACACGGATTATCGAAGCGCGGAGATCAAATCCTACGTAGACCTCTGGTATCTGATGGACTCGGAGAAGCAGATTTGGGAGAAGAAGTATAGGATTGTTTTGGAGATGGATACCTGGGACACTGAACACATTTTCCCTCATGCACATCCCTCACTGATTCTAGATGATGGCAGGATACTCATCTACATAACTGTGCACTTAGCCAACTTCGAAGGGCAATACACGAGGCGGGTGATGCGGTTATATGATCCGGAGACGGACACTTTGGGTTCAGACTTGGTGGATGTTAAGAATATTCACTCAATTGGTTTCTTTTCAGGAAGCTTGTTGAGCATACAGAATGGCCAGGGGTTGTGAACTTGTAGTAGATGTGTTACTGTGTCCTTGGTCAGTTCAACACATCCACTGGTTCTTAAGAGTAGTGTGGCCTGAACTTCTTTACCAGATTATATCATTGTTCGGAGTTCAGACATTTTGAGCTAGGAGCTGCATTTGTGTTACTGTCTGAGCTTCTTACTCCAATTATCTTCTTGCCAATCTTGAGAGGCAAGATGTTTTCCATTCTAGGAGTCTGAACCCTGGCTGGCTTGCTGTGTTTTCCTAGTTTCAGTTATAAACTTTGTACTCGGATTGTCCTGCTCTAATTAAAATGTATGAAGCTGGTGAATATGGTTTTTAGTCCATGCTGGGGAGTGGAGTAACTTGAATTCCAGTGGGTAATTTTTGTTTGGCTTTCAGCTTTTTCTCCTCTTAGATCGCAACATGCAATGATCTTGTGTGATAGGCTTCCCTGATATTATTTCTTGTATGATTATGTAAGTTATTACCAAGACTTAAGGTACTTTTGTTTGATAGTCATCTATGTGCATGCTGTTCTTGGATGGTATTTTCTTATGTTTGACCCGGACCATTAGCCCCTGTTCTCTTGAGATTGGGTACAGGGATAACTGCGAGAAAAGGGTATGGGTGTGTCTTCAAATTTCTCTGATCACCTCATGTTCAAAAACTATCTTTTTCGAGTCTTTCCTTAGTCTGTAGCTATTAGTAATTTGGGATGATTGATTAGTTGATTCGGAGGAAGTTTTTTAATCGTGTTCAAAGAATAACATAGGTGTGAAACAAAATGAGCAAGTTCTGTGGTTGCTTATAATTGACAATTATCTCAATGCAATCTTTGATATTTTTCCCTCTGATAATTATCAAAGCTTCATTGTTTTTCCAATTCTGTGGCTGTATAGTGATATACCTTTACGAGGTTTTGAATGATGTTAATAGAAACTGTTGTATCTTTGTCTTTTTGTTGCTGGGAAATGGAAATACAAATGAAGAGGCTATTTGTTCTGAAGTATCTAAATCCATTCATAGTCTTCAAAGTTCTCTGATTGTTTCTCATGAATCTCTGAGCAATATGCTAGACCCTGTAGTTCTTGCATTTTTCTAGCTTGGGTTTTGTTACATCTTTCAATACGAGATTTGAGGGGTTTTTTTTACATGACAAAATCCGTCCCCCGAAGCATTTTGTCATGTAAAAAAAAACTTGCATGAATCATCTAGGAAGTTGTTAGTTTCCCTTTTAATCGTGTTATCTGCTAATGCATCTAACCTACTTGTTACATAGCAAAACTTGCATCATTCAACATGGCGGCTCTCTTATATTTCATTTCATATTTAAAACCGTACTCCCTGTGTTCCACATTATAAGACTTTTTTTCTTTATATCTATTGTCTAGATTCACTAACATACATGTAAATTTGGACACATATGAAGCACATACATGCATCCAAGTATTAAACATGGTTTGGATTTTCGAAATACCACACTCAGATCTTCAGATCTTCCCAAGACTAACCAAACGTTTAGTCTTGTGATGCGCCAGCTTAATCTTTATCTTCATGAGTTTCAAAGACTACCATATAGGTAGGAGGAGCATCACAGGCTAACAGATGGCTGGATGGGTCAGCAGCACAGAAAGCATACCAGCATAAAACCTCTGAAGAACATTCAAGATTTAACCGGGGCCCAACTTTTTGGGATGTCGTAGTGCCAGGTATTAGTTGAAATACTTGATGCGATTCCCTGTGTGACTTGTTGGCCACTTGTGTTTATCAATCATCTGCTTCTGCTCCATGTAAACGCCTCTCGGCTGGTGTGAGGTGATCGTAGTCGCCTTCGCGCTTGCAACTTGCAAGCTGTTCCCTTCCTCTCCCATCTTGTCAGTTTCAGTCAATAATTCATCGTTAGGATTACCTGATACGACTTCAGAGCTTCCACCTGAAGAACATTTAGTCAAGTTAGGCGCAAATTTACTACATTAAGTGGAATTAAAGCAGTACATATATTGGTGATTTTTTTTAATAATGAAATATAACATCCCGGCTTTTACTCAAAAGAGCTATAACCCATTATTAATTACAATCTAGCACTCAAAACAATTGTACTCTAAAAATAATAGCAACCATCGCATAAAGATAAAAATAACCAATAAAAGATATGGAGAATGATGTCTATTTGTGAATCTCCATCCATAATTGGTAAAAAAATGCATAACCATCGACTCAAGCTTTTTGCATGCAACTTTAAAAACTCTCCGTCTTCATCAAACCTTTGTAACTGTGTCCAAAACCGGAGCCAATATGTTCCCCTAAAATTACCTACATATATGAACATATGATTATTTATCAAAAACTACGTCATTCCTACACAACCATAGAGCCCAACATATCGTAGAAGCTCCCAGCAATATAAGTTTACTTTTCTTCCTGTCCTCTCCTAACAACCACCCATAAAAAATATGAGAAATGCTAGTAGGAATGTATAAGCCAAAATAAAACTGAACTGCTCTCCATATGAATTTTGCGTAATGGCAATCGATAAAAAGATGGTTAATTGTCTCATTTTTCATACAGAAACGACATCTTGAGCTACCATTTCAGTTTCGTCTTGCTAAATTATCTTTCGTTAACACCACCCCTTTAATCTTAAGCTTCCAAATTATCTTATTCCTCCCAATATAGCAGTTATTAATCAAAGCTAGATACATTGACCTTACAGAGAACCGACCATTCTGATTATAATTCCATGAGAAACAATCCGAAGATTGATTCAACTGGATATGTACAATAGAAACACACAAATCATGCCAAAATATAAGATTCTGACCAACTAAAGCTCTCCTGAAAATACATTAAGTAGAACAGAACTCATGACGGTAGCAATTAAAGAATTCTTCCTTCTGACAATAGCATATAAAGAAGGATACTTATCTTTAAAGGCCATATTACCTAACCATTTATCTTCCCAAAATCTTGTTTGTTCCTCATTATTCACTATCCAAGAATCCATATTCAAGAAAGTATTCTTAACTTTCATAAGACCTAACCAGAAATGAGAGTCACCCTGTCTCCTATCAATCTGGGTTATATACTTATTATAAAGATATTTTCTCTTCAATAAATTCTGCCAAACCCCTTGCTCATTTATTAACTTAAATAACCATTCACTCAAAAGACATTTGTTCTATATTTCCAGATTATGAACCCTCAAGCCACTCTGATCTTTGGGTTGGTAAATAATATCCTATCTAGCAAGCATGTACTTTTTCTTATTATCATCCCCTTGCCAAAAGAAATGTGATCTATAATAATTAATTTTTTAAAGAACCCTTTTCGGAATCTCAAAAAAGGATATCATAAACATAGCTAAACTCGAAAGTACAGAATTAATCAAAACCAATCTCCTCCAACAGACATATGTTTTGCTTTCCAACTACTAAACTTCTTCTCAATTCTTTGTTCAATAAGTTTCCAATCATTGTTACTAAGTTTTCTAAAATGCATTGGAATACCGAGATATTTAACAGGTAAGGAACCTAATTTACAACAAAAAATATTAGAATATTGATCATAATAATCCCCTGCATGACCAAAATAAAATAATTCACTTTTGTGAAAATTAATTTTCAGGCCAGACAGTTTTTCAAAAACAGATAAAGTTAGTTTCAGATTCTTAGCTTGTTGTAAATCATGCTCAAAAAAACAATGATATCATCCACATATTGCAATATTGATAAACCATCATCTACTAAATGAGGGATAACCCCTTTAAGATACCAACATCTTTAGCCCTCTTAGTTAGTAAAGTAAGCATATCAGTCACTATGTCTTAATTAGTAAAGTAAACATATCAGTCACCCTTAGGCTGTGTTCGGATAGTAGGGATGGGAACCCAATCTCCCCGCACGGAAAACGGAGCGGTCCATTAGCGCGTGATTAATTAAGAATCGGCTAATTTCTTTTTAAAAAATGGATTAATTTGAATTTTTTAAGCAACTTTTGTATAGAAACTTTTTACAAAAAATACACCGTTTAGCAGTTTGAAAAGCGTGCGCGCGGAAAACGAGGGAGAGGGGTTGGGAACTTGGAGTTCCAAACACAGCCTTAAGGTTGTGTTCCATAGGATGGATTGGGAACCCATCCCCTCCGTACGGAAAACTGAGCAGTTTATTAATGCGTGATTAATTAAGTATTAGTTATTTTTTAAAAAAATAGATTAATTTGACTTTTTTAAGCAACTTTTGTAAAGAAACTTTTTGTAAAAAACGTACCGTTTGGTAGTTTGAAAAACGTGCGAGCGGAAAATGACAGAGCCTAAGTTTTTGAATGTTACATATATTGGTGATGCAGTTCACTTGAACGAACAGAAAAGGGTGTAATATAAGCTTACATTAATTTACTACATTAAGTGGAATTTGCTTAGGCTTAATCTCAAACAGATCTATCGTCTTCCTGCCTTCTGGTCCTACCTGCTTCGTTCCCTACTTCCGTAGTGCCATTATTAGCAAACAGAAAGAGTCAAACAGAGAGCATCTTTCTTTTTTTTCCTAAAAAAATGAACAATAAAAAAGAAAGAAACAGAGTTGAGTATTGAAACTTAATTTGTTGGTTTATTTTAAGTTTTTCATTGTAATTCATTTTCAGCCTTTGCTTTAAATTACTAACAACACATATATGAGTATAAAAGTTTATAAACAATATTTTTTTTGTTATTAATAAGTTGTTACGGCATAGCGCAATACCAATGTTTATTGCCGAACATCCTATGCCAGTTGGTCAGTTGTTAAAGTTCTACGTGGATAATAGATGTGGGCACATTTACAAATAAAAAAGACTCCAAATTAAATCAATATTTTACTAGGTGGGGAGTGAATGGAACATAGGGAGAGGAGAGATTCTTAGATTTTTTTTATTCACTTATGGTCGATCCTAATCTTATGGTTGTTTTTCTTTTTCAATGTCATAATAGTTATGGTTCACCTTAATGTTATTTTTTACAACGTTATCGTTGTTTTTATAATCAGTATAAGTAACACCCAAAGTAGTCTAGCAACCTATACACCATCTAATAGCTAGTCATGGAGGTTACCCAACCCCTAGCGCCTAATAGCGGAGTACAATTCCGGTCAAAAAAAAAATAGCGGAGTACAATTGCAGGCTACCAATTAGCTATAAGCATATGTAGAGAAGAAAAGAGAAGAGAGAGAAAAAAAGCGGACTTGTAGTTAGCTGTAACACAACACAGACTCTAAAATATTGTGTGCGTATGAAAGGTGTGACCATATGTTAATGGTGTAATATATATTTATAGTTAACTATTGTATGAATGGACTATTAAATTGGTTATATATAATTAGAGCTAGTAGTTGGCTATACTACTCCCTTCATCCCATAATATAAGGGATTTTGGTGGGATGAGACACATCTTAGTACTATGAATTTGGACAGAGAGGTGTCTAGATTCATAATACTAGAATGTGTCACATTCCACTAAAATTCCTTATATCGCCCCATAATATAAGGAATTTTGTTGGGATATGACACATTTTAGTACTACGAATCTGGATAGAGAGGTGTCTAGATTCATATTACTCGTGTCACATCCCACTAAAATCTCTTATATTATGGAACAGAGGGAGTATTAAACTTGCTAACTTAGGCAGCCCCTAACACTTTTGAATAGAGGGAGTAGTTTATAAATTTGTATATTTTAGCACAGGTTGTATTTTAGCACACAGTTTGTAGAACTGATCAGCATTTCTTCTATGTTAGCATGATTTCGTACTTTAATAACTATAGAGTTTTATGCATCTACAAGTCCCTGTTCGAGATTTTGCTCGAGCTCTCACCATCACCTATATTGGTTTTTAATAGTAATAATGATTGCCGTAGCAATTGAATTAGACGAGCCATAGTTGACAACTTGCCATCTAAAATTTAGCGATCAAAAGGGTCAATACTTGTCAAGTTCTCTTTTTGGGTGGGAAAACGGTGAAACAAATTTAGGGAAATTTTGTCTTGCTGAATAGAATTGCACGCACTAATCGTTTAACTCAAATTTATTCTGACAAGAAAAGAGGGGCATTCTTCCTCGTGTGAATCCCCCTTTATGAATAAAATTAGAATTCAAATATTTTAATTCATTTTACCCAAGATTCAAGCCTGCGACATTTGGCTCTAAAAGTTATTGCATATGCAAATGCAATGCACCAGCCAATTTTCGCCGCTGAAAAACCGATTAGTTCAGTGTCCTTCAACACATTTTCTCAGCAACAGTTATGTTAATCACCGGTACACCAATGAATTAGCATTCTCTTTGTTCACAGTTTCAGAGATTTTGGCACAAGATCAGCATCCATCTCGTACACACAGACTTTGCACAGGTAGTAGCAACATAATTAAGTGCGCCAATTAGAGCGTATTCTTCTTGAATTGGCTGTCAACTGAACATTTAACACCCCCAGTTGAATCGAATCACATGGCGTCTTGTCACATCTTGCAACAGTTGTACTCCAGTACGAGTGAAAACTGTAGAGGAGGAGGTTGTACACAGCTGAAGTATAGTAGAAGTGCAGGGAACTACGTGAGACCTGATATGCACTTGCACGTGAGCCAGGGAGAAAAACAAGATTTTGCACGATGCACTTTTCATAATCCCATTGACTTGTAATGTTCCTGAGAAAAAAATCACTGGTTAAGATAGGCGCTTTATAAATCTATTAATTCAAGAATGGATTTCGAGGGCTATTTTGGTTTGAACCCCAATTTCTACCAATGAAATGCAGTACCAAATCTTACAATATGGTAGTGCCAAGATTTTTGCACTACCAAATTTGTTGTAGTAGAATTTGTATTAATAAAAGGTTAATTTGCACTATCAAATACCCCATATTAATTTTAACCTACTAATTAAAATAAAATATTGATAGTGCTAAAATCTTGGCACTACCAAATTTGTTATAGTAGAATTTGTATTAGTGTGAGCAAAATTTAGCATCCAATCAAACATCCATACAATACTGTTGAAGACAATCTTCTTTGCCTTCTCTTAAAAAAAATACTATTGAAGTTGCCAAAAAAATAGTAGGATAAAAAATGGCTTTCATCAAAACATGTCTAAGGCTGAATTGAGTTCTAAGGTGGTGTTTGGGTGGGCTAATCCCTCGTTTACCGTGAGTATGCTTTCTAAATCGCTAAATAGTGTGTTCGTGCAAAAACTTTCCATATAGAGGTTACTTTAAAAAATGACAGAATTTATTTTTCAAGTTTATAATAGTTAATATATAATGAATCATTGTTCATCTCGTTTTTCGTGGCACTAAATAGTTAAGCCTACAACTATTTCAAACCCACAAAATAAATCTAACAATTTGGCAGTTAACCTTACAAAATTTAATAATATATAAATTATTATTGGTTAAAGTCTGAACAATAGAATTGACACCACATGGAGAAAGGATTCCATCTGGTTGGATGTAAATACTTGATGTTTCTAGGATAAGATTCAGCCAAACTTGACCAACAGTTTTATATTAGAACATATTCATACTATCTAATAAGGCAGCGTTCGAGAGGGTGAGAGAGTGAGTTTGTTTGTTTCGTTTTCCGTGCGCACGTTTCCAAACTACTAAACGGTGCGTTTTTTGTAAAAATTTCTATAGGAAAGTTGCTTTAAAAAATCATATTAATTTATTTTTGAAATTTAAAATAGTTAATACTCAATTAATGATGAGCTAATAGCTCACCTCGTTTTGCGTATCTTCCCAATCTCCTCAATCCCCTTCTCCTCAAACACACCCTAAGTGTACCAAACTTCTTCTTAGCTGTGTTCGCTCATCCAAGTTCCCAACAGGAACAGTACGCGTGGAAAACGGAGTGGTCCATTAGCACGTGATTACTTAAGTACTAGCTATTTTTTTAAAAAAAGGATTAATTTATTTTTTTAAGCAACTTTCGTATAGAAACTTTTTGCAAAAAACGCACCGTTTAGCATTTTGAAAAGTATGCGCGTGGAAAACGGGGGAGAGGGGTTGGGAAAAGGGGTGCTGAACACCCCCTTCTTCTGGTTTCAAATAACTGCCACCATTGATCAATATAATTTTATCTTTGACCATCAAATACTTTTAAAATGATTAGACCATGACTTACAAAAGAATTAATGAATATATGTAGGATGTAAAACACTTCGTTAAAAATATAATACTTTTAAGTACTTATATTTTTTCTAAAAAAACGATGAGTGGTCAAAAGTTCAAAGATGAATTGTATCCAGTGACAAGTATTTGAAGACAAAGGCAAATATATGTATACAACTTCTTCTTACTAAGCATATATATAAAAATTATTGGCGAACGGAGTATTAAAATGTAACTAAATTTTATTCTAAATTTTAAGTTTTTTTTACAGTGAGAGTATTTGTTTTAGGTGTTTCCTAAGAAAGATTCATTCTTTTGTATGCACATAGATAAGTATTAGTCCAGATGCATAGTTACAAATGATGCATAATTAGAAATAAAATTATTTTAGGATGGAGGTAAGCACTTGCTAATGCTTTCCATAAATTCATCTGCCGTTACTACCTTCAGCTGAGTCACAAATGAAGAAACTCCTGCTATTACTAATAAGGGCGTTTAAAGTTGGTGTTTTTAGCAGGAAATTTATTGTATGAAATTCAAGAAAGAAGCATCAAATTCACATTTCGAAATGAAACGAAATGCCTCAAAAGGAAAAAGTTTATCGTTTCCTTATGCTGGCATGCATGGCTCCAATTCCTGGGGGCAGACACAATTTCAGTTACAAACATCATCATGGATTAAAAACTGCTTGAGCTATCTATAAAAGGAAGTTATTAAGACAATAATAAACAATTGAACATAATACCAAATTAGAGAGGTTCAGATATCCTTATCTCGAAAGAGTTCAGTGTATCTTTGTCATGTGCATCACGCTACAAAATCCAAAATTTTGTGGGACGAAAAAGTCATATACAAATTATACTTGAAGAAATCGTTTTTTAAATTACTTTAGGGGGTTTACTTCCATAGGAATATACTCTCTTCGTTTTATAATGTAAGTCATTTTAGCATTTCCCACATTCATATCGATGTTAATGAATCTAGATATATATCTATCTATATTCATTAACATCGATATAAATGTGGAAAATGCTAAAATGACTTACATTGTGAAACGGAGGAAGTACTCCACAATCAACATCACACAAGTGCTTCTAAAGTAATTGGTGATAGCTACCAATACATATCAAAATCGGGAAAAAAAATTTGAGTTTACCTATGGTCAAACCACCTCCAAATTGGACCACACCGTCCCCCACCACAGAGGATCCACGTCACCCCCTGAAACAACAGTCAGACTGACACCACCTGGCCCATCTCGATCCACGTGTCCCCCCGCCTCTCTCTCCGCGCCCTCCATGGACCGGGTGTACGAGGACTACCCACTGACACGTGGGCCCCACTTCCGCATCTTCTCCGGAATCCTCATGCACCGAGTCTACGGACGAGTCCGGAAATCCCCCGCTAATTACATTCCTAATTACATTCCCTTCACGCGCTCTGCGCCACCGCAGTAGTAAACAAATTGTGTTTTTTCTTTTTTTTTTTCAAAAAGTAATCTCAACCTTTTGGCCAAAGGAATGTGATTTAGATTATGTTAATTAACGGATTAGGGTGTTAATTAATTACTCGAGGCGCTCCTCTTCTTCCTCTTCTTCCCCCATATCGCCATTGGCCCTCGCCTCCTCCTCCTCCTCCTGCGAAGCCAGTGCACGGCCCACTTCCGCCGCGCCCGCGCCCGCGCGCTGCGTCGGGGTAGGCCTAGGGTGGGAGGCGGCGCAATGCGGAGGCCTTCGTCGGCGTCGGCGTCGGCGGCGGCGGGGGCGTCGTGCCGCCGGCGCGCGATCGAGGTGCTCGCCGCGGTGCTCGTCCTGTACGCGGTGCTCGTGTTCGTCCTCGAGTCGCCGCTCGTGTCGACGTCTCTGTCGGGTGGTGGGGGAGGTGGAGGGGGAGGTGGTGGTGGCGCGAGGTATCTGCGGCTGGCCGGGGGCGGGGTGCGGGCGGCCCCGGCGCGCCCGGCGAAGGAGCCCCGCCTGGCGGCGTCCGCGTCGGTCTCGGGGCCCTCCGCACGAGGGCGGCGCCTCTCGGGGATGGTCTCTGGTCTCGACCTCGGCCTCCTCAACTCGTCCCGCGCCGGCCCGCTCCGCCGCCCGATTGCCGGCGCCGTCGAGACGGGCGCCCGCGTGTTCGCGGAACTCGAGGACCTCGACACCGCCGCCTTCGAGTCGCCGTCCGCCGAGGGGGAGGCGGAGGCGGCCAAGTGCCCGCAGTCGGTCATGCGCTCCGCCGACGAGTTCCATGGGAGGGGCCGCGTGGTGGAGCTCCCGTGCGGGCTGACGCTGGGGTCCCACATCACCGTGGTCGCGACGCCACGGCCGGCGCACGCCGAGGGTGACCCTAAGATCGCCGTGCTGAAGGAGGGGGAGCAGCCGATCATGGTGTCGCAGTTCATGATGGAGCTTCAGGGGCTAAAGACCGTCGACGGCGAGGACCCGCCGCGCATCCTCCACTTCAACCCACGCCTCCGCGGCGACTGGAGCGGCAAGCCGGTGATTGAGCAGAACACCTGCTACCGAATGCAGTGGGGCACCCCGCTCCGCTGTGAGGGCTGGAAGTCCAACTCTGATGAGGAGACCGGTTGGGGACCCCTGCAATTCCATTTTGATTATGTTAGTTCAGGTGAATTCTGTGGAAATTTGTTGATCGAGTGAATAATTTTTTGTGCAGTGGATGGGTTCGTGAAGTGTGAGAACTGGATTCTGAACGCGGATGAACGGTCCAAGGAATCGACGACAACCTGGCTGAACCGGCTGATCGGACAGAAGAAGGAGATGAATTTTGATTGGCCTTATCCTTTTGTGGAGGGCCGATTGTTTGTTCTTACTATCAGCGCTGGGTTGGAGGGGTACCATGTGAACGTCGACGGGCGACATGTGACTTCTTTTCCATACCGTCCTGTAAGTACATTTGTTCCTCCATTTATCTTGTGTCCAAGATCGAAATTGTGGTGAATGACTTGCATAATGAATGATAGAACACTATGATTTACGGTAGTTCAAACATCAGTGCTGGGCAACAGTTGCCTTAAGTTTATTTTTGTTTTGCTTTGGCTCCTGCAGGGATTTGTTCTTGAGGATGCTACAGGTTTAGCATTGAGTGGGGACCTTGATGTGCAATCAGTGTTTGCGGGGTCTTTACCCACAACACACCCAAGCTTTTCACCACAGAGTTACCTGGATATGTCAACTGTTTGGCAGTCGTCTCCTCTGCCTAACGAACCTGTTGACATTTTCATTGGCATCCTGTCATCTGGCAATCATTTTGCTGAGCGTATGGGTGTGAGGAAGACATGGATGTCTGCTGTCAGAAACTCACCAAATGTGGTAGCTCGTTTCTTTGTTGCACTGGTAATTCTTGAGAATTAACTTGATAGATTTCCTTGCTTCATGTCTTCCGTAAACCTGAGCTGATGAACTTTCTTTATTCCAGCATGGCAGAAAGGAAGTGAATGTGGAGTTGAAAAAGGAAGCAGAATTTTTTGGGGACATCGTTTTTGTGCCGTTCCTGGACAACTATGATTTAGTTGTTTTGAAGACTCTTGCAATATGTGAATATGGGGTATGCCAACAATTTTCTTGCTCAAACTGATTCTTATTTAATGATCTATAAACTGTAGCTGTTATTTTCGTATTTTCTGACTGGTTGACTTGTCTGCTCAGGTTCATGTTGTCTCTGCTAGGTATGTAATGAAGTGCGATGATGATACTTTTGTCAGACTTGATTCAATAATAACTGAAGTCAACAAGGTACAAAGTGGCAGAAGCTTCTACATAGGGAATATCAACATCCATCACAGGCCGCTACGCCATGGGAAATGGGCTGTAACTTATGAGGTAAAGCATATGTATTTTGTTTGATGGTGGTTGTTAGATAATATTGCGTATGCACCTTTTGTCATCGTTTCTTCTATTTGCTTGAAGTGAGCAAGCTAATTACTTTAGTCATGAGTGATAGACTCCATTAGAAGAACTTGGTTATGGATATGTACTACTAATGTTACTCTCGAAGTCCAAACATTGTTCACAGTAAAAAAGCTGAAAATATGTGTTTTATGGATGCTTATTATAGTTGCAATTGATATATGCAACTTTTTTTCTCTGTTTTTGCTGTGTGCTGTCTCAGAACTTCCTGTTATGTTTAAAGTTTTGAAGACTGAAACCATGCCTTTGTAGATATCAAAATCTGATTAATAACTTGATTCATTCTTTGCATAAGTTTTTTTTCACTGTTTTATACAAACCAGTGTGAAGAACAATTACTTCCTGCAAGTGATGAAAGGTCCTTTCAAGGTGTACATAATCGAAGATCTGAGATATCAATCTTTGTTGATTATTATTAACATCCTTAGTTATCTGTGTTGTCCAGTAGAATTGTTTTGCAATCAGTTAGGCATTTAGGCTGTCTTGTTTGAGTTTTTTTTTCCCTAGCAACTCTACTAGACTGGATAATTCTCATCTTGCTTATCAACATCGCAGGAGTGGCCGGAGGAGGTCTATCCACCCTATGCAAATGGTCCTGGATATGTTATATCTTCTGATATTGCTGGTGCCATCGTGTCGGAATTCAGAGACCAAAAACTGAGGGTACTATCTTATAGTTTTCTGTAATAAAATTTCCGTCACTCTGCGCATTAACTGTCCTCCTTTTATTAGTACATCAGTAGGGGCCTGCCCTCCTGTTTTCCCCTAAAAAGGAGAATACCTTAACTATCACTTTGAACAGTTGGTTTAGAAACATAAAAAAATATATAGGATGAAAGAGACAATAGATTAACTTCACCAAACGAACTATATATGATTCTTACATGACAATTTAGTAATGAAAAATAAGAACCTTCCCTTATTTGGTATCTTGTTTTCGCACTGGTTTAAACTGGTAGATTGATTACTACATAAGTCTGGCAGAAATTTCCTAATCATAATCCACGTTGAAGAAGAAACTTATTTAATTTATAATTGCTTTCTGTGCAGCTCTTCAAAATGGAAGATGTGAGCATGGGTTTGTGGGTTGAGCAGTTCAACAGAACAAGGCCTGTTGAATTTGTTCACAGTACCAAGTTTTGTCAGTTTGGATGCGTAGATGATTATTATACTGCACATTATCAATCACCAAGGCTGATGTTATGTCTGTGGCAGAAGTTGCTAGATGGAAAACCACAATGTTGCAATATGAGATGACAATAGTTTAACTGGTAGCAATTGAATCATACCGTACTGGCAATCTTCATTTAATCAACAAAAGGGATGGATTTGCTGATGTCCTTCAGTAGCCATTTATCACTAACTATATCTTTGATGGTAAATTAAGACTGCTTGAGACTGACATGTAGAAATTGATTTCCTAGATTACTTGAGAGTAGCCAGCTTAGTTTCAACATTTGATAAGCCAGTGCACTATTACTCTCTTTTCTTAAAAAAAATGGGTACAAGTTTTTAGGTACTGTAGAAATGAATGAGCATCATTCCTGAACATGAAGAAGTGGCAATTCAGTTAAGTTACTTCTACTTCTAATACGACTCACTACAACGTGGCGGTTGTTCACAGCTTATCTGGTGTGGTGAGAGCTTGAAGTATAGGTTGATTTTGTCCTGCAACCTGTCATGTAATTTAGTCGCTACCTGAATGAACTAGTCTTTTTCTCCTTGACTAATCAAATATGTACTCTTAACTCTTCTATTTTTTATGTCTACAACAAAGTATGGTCTGGGAAATTTCATGTGATGCGACATCTTTAAAACTGCAAGCTTTCGCTGTTGCTTTAGTTCTTACATGAAAGTCGTACCTTCACAAATCGAAGGTGCTTATGTAATGGTTTGCTGTTTCTGATGCCTTTAATAAATATACTTTTTTCCACTATATCCTTCATGCGTGCAAATCATTCATCATAGTTTTGTCTAGTAAAAGAAAACCTTGTATTTCGGTTGTTCATGTATTCTAGTTGTCTGCTCGATGAATGTGCTGTTATCATCATAACGATTTCCCTATTGATTTATGTGCAAAATGCTTGCTACTGAACACTTGCGATGAAGGAAATGTTGTATTTTTTTCCCCTTCCCAAACAGCAAGGCTCCTATTGTGAATTTGTGATTGCTGAATAATTGAAAATGCCACTAAGATGTAAAGCTTGTACAGCTACTGTTTATTCATGCGTGGGCAGTGACTGTATTTCTACGAAAGTGCTCTCTGTCTCAGTGGTGGCAATGACACCATGTTTAGAAAGTTGCAAATGCTTTGCTGAGAGAATATTCATCATGGTGTAGCTGGCAAGCATAGTTCACATCTTTTTATGCTCTGATTTGCTGCTTTCTTTACGGGCATGGCACTGGCACGAAGATATGTGTTCTCATGTTCCTACACCTTTTGAGCTTTCCTCCCCTCTCCATGGTTTACGAGGTAAGCAATCTGAACTAATCCATTGTTATACAGTAACATCGATTCTAATGCAGTTTAATGGTTTGTTTGTGCATGCAAAAGCAGGTTTACTGGCTTACTGCTATGTAAAGTTCTTCAGATTATGGTAGCTGATTTGTCTCTTGATTTTGTTTTCAGGAACCTGAGCTATCTGCCAGCTGACCAAGAAATACTTATTTCATCATTAAAAAAACTGACCAAGAAAAAAAAATTACTCCATTGTCTAAAAAAAAATTGACCAGAAGTAGTCAGGTCAACCTCAGCATGTGCTGCAGATGAGGTAGGTTTTTACCAGGTCGACCTGGATAATATATTGTATAACTTGCTGCTCAGAAAGAAAGCTCTGTTGTTGATACGCTGTTCGTTTCAGTAGTTATCGCTGTTGTGTTGGCATTTGTCTTGCCAAAATTCTCTAGTCCCAACTGGGCGTGATGAGCGATTCAACACTCAACAGCTATATTACACTAATGCAGTTGTGATGGTCAGATGGTGTCATTCTTACTTCTTTTTTGTCCATCATCATATGGATTATCGAAATCGTCGCAAAACAAGATGGATTTATCGAAAATAATTGGGATAATATTTGATGCTGCTCTTGTAATATGAGCTAGCGCTTTGTTGGCGAGTTGGACACTTTGGATTGGTCTAAGAGCCATTGTCAGCTATGGCACGTGCATTCTTTTCAGCATCTCGTGTTTTTCTGTCAAAAAAAAAAAAAACTGGAGAATTGGTCCAGAGTGGCATGTATTCCAGACCAAGATTCTGTGGCCGCGTCAAACCAAAATCAACTCTGGAAACCTCCATGATTGGAACCCAACAATTTTGGACGAAACAAAAAAAAGAACTTTAATTCAAAACCAGCAAAGGATTGAGAGAAGGCGAAAAATAAATGGTATCCCGGGAGCAACTGTTCTTGAAAGCTATGGTTCCTTTTGAACTAATGAATTTCGTGGAATTTTTATAGGAATTTCACTGGATAATTACCACAGATTATTTGTTTTGCACCTCTAATAAAGCATTTTCTTAACTTTTCTTAATTAAATTTTTTTTCTTCTACTGCATTGCTTCAACCACTTATCTTAAGCTATATCTTAGATTTATTTGTTAAAATATTCAATTTATGCCTATAAAATAAATAAATAATCCGCGACAATGATCACAGGAATACCATCTCCGGCCTATTTGCCACTCATAGCCAGAGTGAGCAACTGATTGGTAGGCAATCATATGGGATATGGGATAGTGATATAACATATTTCAACTAAAATAGATATTCCTGATTTGGCAATTATGAAATGTTGGGCAACCAAAAGACACAGTACCAAAATACCATTTGAACTAAAATAGATATTCCTGATTTATAGGGCAGACGAAGTACTTACTTGCATCATATAAATTTCATAGAATTTTCATATCAATTGCACACAAAAACAGCTCAATGATTTTGTGCAACATCCCAAATAAACTAGAACTAAAATAAAAGAGTACTGCTATACGTACGACCCAATTGTATAATTCATGTACAACTAAAAACATATAATCATATATCAATAAAAAAAGAGCATGTTCATACGCCCTGCATCCGTTAACAACACTTACCAAAATTTAGTCGCACATGAGTCGGACAGTTGGAACGTATGTATAGCAATTTCCAAAACAAAATTAAAACACCGCGGGAATACAAATACAGCTCTGAGTAGCACCTAAAATCCCGAGTTCAAATCTCTATATGAGCGAATTTCAGGTCGGGTTATTTGCAGGGCTAAGTTCTAAATTTAGTGTCTGAATATAACCGACTGGATGTAGAGGCCGAGTAAAAAAATATCATTCTCTAAAAAAAAATACAGCTCTACTTCTTCTCCTAACCTCCTTTGATCGTTCGTTGGTTTGTTTTTTTTTTCTTTTCTCGCGTACAGCTGGACGCTTCGTTTGCTTCTCCCGTTCCGTCTCTTCTCCTCTCCTCTTCTTCTCCCCTCTCCTCTCTCCACTTCTACTCTCACCTCTCGCTACCAAACACGCGCACACGCAGCCGAGATCGAGAGCGAGCTACTTGCCCTAGCAGCAGCAGCAGCGAGGAGCGCGAGGGGGCGGCGGCGGCGGCGTGCATGGCGGGGGCTCCGTCGAGGTCGCGCGGCGACTTCGACCACCTCATCAAGCTCCTCCTCATCGGCGACAGCGGCAAGTTTTACACCTCCTCCTCCTCCCCGCCTCACAAATCAGAGCTCTGTCCCGTGCTGTTTCGGATTCCTCTATGGCTTTTTAGTTGCTTGCTCGCTCGATTCCTGGTTGTACTGCGCTTTCTCCCTCTCTTCTGCTGATTCGTGTGGTGGTAGTACTAGTACTAGTACTTTTCGCATCTCTTAATGGGTCCGTGGCCGTGGGGGGAGCTCGGGGGAGGAGCAGTACGAGGGGTTCTTGTTGCCGAGGATTTAAGGGATGGGATTTCCGTGTATTGGTTTAATTGTTGGAGTGGTACGTACTACGTAGCAGTAATTGGGAGCTTTCTTGGAGGACTGATTAGCTGCTGATTTGGGTTTTGGTCGGTTGCTAATCTTGTCGGGGAACATTCTCCAATGAGGAGTGAGAACCATGCTAGTATGTGTTGCATCCATAAGTAGCTATGGATAGGGATTTCTGTACCGATTGGAGGTTGGTCATGTCGCAATTGGACAAGGACTTGTGAAGTAATTTGCCGAGATTAGCCTGCGAAAATGTTTCGTAGGTGTGCAATGTCTGTGTGCGATATTGTTCGGATCATAGGTGATTGTGTTGTGGTTGTGCACTCCTCTTTGATCTTCTGTTTATTGCGGTTTTCGTTGAGGCAGTGGGTTCCTGGGGATTTTCACGAATTTTGCTCTCCAGTAGTTTATTAGACTAGGATGATAGTAATTGTTTTGGTTTGATAGGTCGATATAGAAATGGAACAAAATGGGTTATAACTAACATGGGAATCCCCAAAAGGTGCTCTAGTGGTCATAAAAGTTGAGTAGGTCTTAGATTTTCAGCATTTCACCATGGTTGACATATTTTGTTAGTCTAAAATAGGTAGGAATAGAGATTAGGACTTGAAGCTATATTGGAGCCAAAAGTCATTAATTGGAAGGGTCCTTTAAATCCAACTTGTACCAGCTCAGACACCATTACTGTTTCAGACTAGTAGTGAAAATGAATCATCACCTCATCCTCATTTATTTGTTCAGATGCTGAAGTTTTGGCCTTGTTTCACAGTCGTGCCAGAATTGTTCCTCATCCTACTTTACCAAAAGTGCTGAAATTACTCATCATTAAAATAGGACTAGGTGTTTTTAGAAAGAACCTTCATGCTTGTCCAGTCCTTCATTGGATTGAAATTGAAAATTGTTAGTTGATCATCCCTTTGTAGTGATATTGCAATTCCTCAAGGCACATCTGACTATCTGTTATCAAATTTATCGGATGACCACATGATTGATTTGGTATATCTGATGGGTCTCCAACTCCCCATTTTCTCATTGTGGTGTTTGACAGTTTTGTTCTGTCTTTATTATCTTCAGTTCGTGTGATGTCTAGTGGCATTTTCTTTCTCAGATAATTATGTTATCATTCTTATTTGGCACTTATTTGTTTAATGGGTTAATCTGCAGGAGTAGGAAAGAGTTGCTTGCTTCTGAGGTTCTCAGATGACACTTTCACTACAAGTTTTATCACCACCATTGGGTATTCACACAACCATTAATTCTTCTATTTTTGGGCATTCACTTATGGAAGCCAATATTCTAAATATGTTTATTTTTCTTTATGTAAAGCATTGATTTCAAGGTTCGGACAGTTGAGCTTGATGGAAAGCGTGTAAAATTGCAGATTTGGGATACTGCTGGTCAAGAACGTTTCCGGACAATTACAACTGGTATATTTTTCACTTCCTTTTCTGCTAATGACTCACATATGGTAATATGGGGCAAATTATGAAAGGCGACAAATTCCTGATATATGACCTAAGGCTTGAACACTGACAGAAATTTGTCGTCGAAACGAATATGAACATGAACAATTGTCAAACTGATGCAATTTCAACCAAACAATATGATATATTCTTTTAGATTCAAATCTTTATTTTTTTTGGAATAGCACATAAAGTTACCCTTTTCTATGTGCTCCAATGAGGAAGAAATGCATAATAAAAATGTCCCTCTTTGCAAATGTATTTTGCTTGGTTTCTGAAGCTGTAGACATTCAATATGCATATTCATATGCCCAATTTTTATTGGTCATCTGGAAACCTTTAATTGATGACGACATATATAACCTGTGAATTAGAGAATGGGCATTTATATAAGCATGATGGCAGTTTCTCATATATATCCTCATGTACTTACTGAAAATCTGGCACTATAATGACCCGAGCTATTCAGATTTACCCATTGATTGCTAAGCAAGATTTCTGCACCTTATTTGATCCTTTTCCTTTCTGCAGCCTACTATAGAGGTGCTATGGGCATTCTGCTTGTTTATGATGTTACAGACGAGTCATCCTTCAACAGTATCCATCATACTTGTGCATCCCATTTGTTGACAGAGTGCAAATATATATATTTTTTTCTTAACTGATGTGTAGACATTAGAAATTGGATCCGCAACATAGAACAACATGCATCTGATAATGTCAACAAGATTTTGGTGGGCAACAAGGTTGATATGGATACAAAGCGGGTAAATGTTTCAAAAAGTTCCTTAATGTTAGACATTCATGGCGCAGTTTCTTACGCCTATTACAAAATGGTGTTCGGTTAATAGGTGGTGTCCACAGCTCAAGGACAAAAGCTCGCAGATGAGTATGGAATGAAATTTTTTGAGACGGTAAGATTTCATAGTATAAGCAAAGTAAACTTACATGTCAAGTTGCTGTCCAACTTTTTGTCACATAACTAGTTGTATTCCTACTTTCCAAGATGATCAGAGACATGTTTAAATACTATTTTCAGAGTGCAAAAACAAATCAGAACGTGGAGCAGGTATTCTTTACCATTGCAAGGGACATAAAGCAAAGATTGACCGAAACTGTTGCTGCAGCAGCTGAGGTAGATACTCTTGCATTCCGTTCCCATCCCCTGTGCATTATTTGTCACTTGGAGTTCTAACCTGTACATCATTCACGCAGCCCCCAACTATTCAAATCAGTAGGCAAGAACCAGATCAGGCAGCTGCCTCGTCAAGATGGTCAGCCTGCTGTAACACCTGATCAACGCTGCGGCGCACTGCACGGCTTGTCCTGTTCGCAGCTTGCCTATGACAGCAAATTTACCACTCCCATCTTCCGTGTATTCAATGCCAAGATGTATATTTCGCCCAGTTGATATCTAGGTCAAAAGATCTTTTACCTGACCATTCTGGTGTTGTGATTCCTCAATGAGGTGTAAGGGTGTTTGCCTGTGTTCTAGCTCTGTTGTTAGTTCTGAATTATGCTTCAAAACTCTTCTTTTTTAGCTCTGTGTTCGTCAGATAAGCTGATGGATTTGCTCCTGTCATGTAAACAAACCTTCTAAGAGACAGCAGTATCTGATTGTCTGAATTCATGATTGTGCATTACTGAAGATTTGTCCTATTTCCCCCCATGTGCTTCACTCAAGATTCCCAGATTATCTTTGTTTGATTATATGCTAGTACTACTATTATTCGTGAGAAGACTGGAGTATGTTCCGTTGTGAAATTGAAATGGGATTCACGGGAAAAACAAGATTCTGAATTCAAATATGTGGTGGTGTAAGGACAATAACTGACGACAATCAATGTGGTACAGAATCAAATGGAAATAGGACTCACCAGTACCGCTGCAGAGAGCGTACAGAAATGTGATACTACAGTACTACTCGATCCGTAAAAAAAAAAAAAAAGACAAACCCTGAGTTTTCGTGTCCTACGTTTGACTATCCGTCTTATATAAATTTTTTTTATAATTAGTATTTTCATTGTTATTAGATGATAAAACATAAATAATAATTTATGCGTGACTTATGTTTTTAATTTTTTTAGAGTAAAGTCCATCACCGGTCCTTAAACTTATACCGTTGTGTCATCCCGGTCCCTAAACTCGCAAATCGATCGTTCAGATCCTCAAACTTATTCGACTGTATCATCCCGGTCTCTAAACTTGCAGATCACTTGTTTAGGTCCTCCAACTTATTCAGTTGTGTCACCTCGGTCCATAAACAGGACGGTCTAAAAACTTTATATTAAAAATAATTCATAACCTTTTCATGTGAACTCTAATGATGACAAACTTTATATCAAAATTGTAGCCCTCGACGCAGCCTACAACTTTGTAGTTGAAAAGTTTTTGAATTAAAACTGTTTAGGGTCCCAAAATATTGTTGCATGTTTATAGATTTTGAAATTTTAATTTTAAAATTACATTTTGGGACAAAAAATGACTTAAAATAAAAAAAATCAACTACAAAGTTGTAGATCGCGTCGAGGGTTACAAGTTTGATATAAAGTTTGTCTTTATTAGAGTTCACATGAAAAAGTTATGAATTATTTTAAAATATAAAGTCTTTAGACCGTCCTATTTGACCCAGATGATATTCAAATTCAAGTTTAGAGACCGGGGTGACACAACTGAATAAGTTGAAGGATCTAAATGAGTGATTTGTAAGTTTAGGGACCGGGATGACACAGCGGTACAAGTTTAGGGACCGGTGATGGACTTTACTCTTTTTTTTATATTTTTTTCAAATAAGACGGACGGTTAAACGTTGAACACGGAAACTCAGGTTTATCTTTTTTTTTAGACGGAGGGAGGAGTACACCATGAAGCGGTTCTGGCCCGAATGGCCAAATGATTGAGCTCAATATTGTTCTAAGGCTGTGTTTAGTTCACGCTAAAATTGGAAGTTGGTTGAAATTGGAACGATGTGACGGAAAAGTTAAGTTTGTGTGTGTAGAAAAGTGTTGATGTGATGGAAAAGTTAAAAGTTTGAAGAAGAAGTTTGGAACTAAACTCGGCCTAAATTTCGATAAATCATTCGGAATAATCAGCTAGATTGTAACCATGTGCAGCTAAAAACTGTTCTATCCACAAATCATGCCTAATACTAGTCAGTTATCCCATCATCAAATAACTAACGGATCATTTCTCTACCATCTTAAAAACGAGGTCATCCTCCTTTCGACCTCTTCCCATATCATCCACTCCTTCACACGTACGTAACCACCGTGTTTTATCTTTAATCTATCTACCCAGCCAATCGAGTCTGACCCATTGAACAACATATCAATCACTAATCATATATGGATCTAGTTCGTTGTAAAGCACGAACATGTTACTAATCAAAAGGAACATGATAGTCACCGGATATGGAGGTGCAAAATGGTGGACAAGAAAACTAGAAAACAGATATGTATTGATACTTGGAACATAGGAATTGGGTTAATAAATCAAGAGTGGTTCCTTCGTCCCATGGAGATTTTCCCCTTGAATTTGGGATGCATTTTTTTTCTTCCATTTCATCTTTCATAAATTTCCATTTGAAAAGTAACCGAGCAAAACTGCGAAATAATTTATGGAGGAATAACTGCCAAATTCATTTCATTACAAACGCTAAGACGGGTGAAAAGAAATCCACGACTTCTCATTCATCTGAAATTCCCTGAACTTACCGATCAAACGAAATGATGGTTCTTGTATCACTCTTTTTCTTTAAGAACTTGTGGGTGTGTTTTGGTCATGTATATTGTAGTTAGGTAGAGATCAGGAACACTATCAGTATGTTGTATCAGCTTGATGTAATTAACATACTTCAGGCAAACTTCTATTCCATCTGTTACATATTATAAGGTTTATGTTCGACAACAGCGGATTGGGAGAAAAAAACTCCCTCCTCTGCGCACGTGTTTCCCGAATCGCTAAACAATACGTTTTTAAAAAAAATTTCATAGTAAAGTTACTTAAAAATCATATTAATTATAAATTTAAAGCAAGTATTACATAATTAATCATGTTAATGACTCATTTGTTTTTGCGTATCATCCTAATCTTCTCCTTTTCTCTTGTCATCGCTTTGACTTCTTTTCTAATCAATTTTTTTTAAGTTTGATAAAGTTTATAGAAAAATATAGTAGTATTTTTTGACACAAAACAAACATATTATGCTATATTTAATGAAACTAATTTGACGGTTTAGATGTTGCTAAATTTTTTGTTAGGAAAAAAGTTAAAGCTATTTATAATATAAAACAGAGGAAATTATATATGCCACACTGTTGACAACAAAGAACAAACAAGACGGAAATTCAAATATAAAATTCAGCGGAGCTTAGGCCCCCACCATTAACTTATTGCATCCCATCACTACGCAAAGTTGAATGCACTTTGATTAATGATAATGTCACACCCTAATGTCCGGCCACCGGCCAATTAAAAGGAGATGAAGAGGAATAAAAAGGATGCAATCCCAACTGGCGACAGCCTTCCAAATGGCCCCAGCTAATTAATCAAGAACAAGGATCACCACAACACAAAACCTTCCGATTCTGATTCGCCATGCCATGCCAACATGAATCCAATCAACCATAATCTCAATTTTCTTTTCGCACAATAGTATAGTTAAACCAAATCTAATCATAGCCTCTTTTGATTAATTTAGTGTCTATGATTAATTTATTTCTTTTCATGCCATTATCCTAATATGATCCCATGCATGCTGTTTGTTGTCTGGTGAGAGCTAGCCTGCTGCTGGTGTGTTTTGGCAAAGGCAAATGTGCTGTTGCTAGGGCATTGCCACCCTGTCTCTTAGAGCATTTTGTGGCGTCCTGCTAAGCTGAAAAGGAAGGGGATATATAAAAAACAGACAAACTCATCATGGGCTGGCTAAATGCCATTGCTGGGTTAATAACTTAACAGTACTACATGATAAAAAAAAGAATTAAAATGTTTGTGAATTAGATTGGTGATGTGTCAGAGGCACTTTCTTTTTTGTTTTCATCTGATTTTCATACGATGGTTTAATTTTAAGCAGATTTTCTTTATAGGTATCGAAGAGATTGCAGGAGCTTCTTCTTGTTTTCTTCTCAGAGATGTTTCGCTCAGAGAATTGGATTACAATTTAGCTCAGGGGCACCACCACACCATGTGATGTGCAGCAGTGCAGTTTGAATTTAACGCGGCAGGCCACAAAGACCTTGTTCAGATTGTTGCGTAAATAATCATATCAATGTTCGATAATATCAAATGATATAGTTTTGTGCTATTAAATTTTGGTAGAGTTAGGGTTTTGTTGCCAAAATCAACCTTACCATTTGTTGGTAAAGCTAAATTTTGGACAAGTTGAAAATGTAAAGGTAATGTTTACCTTATCAAATATTGGCATTATTTTATGAGGAGAAGTTTCTAGAATCTTGCTAAATTCTATGGGCATTACCAATATTTGGTAGCAAACCAAATGAAGCCAAATTTTGGCAACTTGCGAAATAATGGTTCAAAATGACAACAATCTGAACGGCCCTTAGATGTATTGGGTTTGAAGCCTCACCAAGTTTTGATACCGTTTTAGTGAAAGTTTCTAGAATTAATTATCAAATCTTGTTAAATTAGTATATTTTTTATTTGTTATCCATTAAATTTTGGTATTGTTAACATTTAGTTAAGTGAAAGTGACAATAAACTGAAAGTGCCCTAAATTAGATTAAAAGGGGGGGGGGGGTCAATTTTAAGGTGGGAGAATATTAAAAGAGACAAATCAAGGGTAGCTGGTAAACAAACTGGAGAAGCACCAGGAAATTACGTGTTTCTTACTACAAGCGAAGCGAGGTCAGCACTCAACTATTTGATCAGACATGTGGCGTTCATGCATGGATGGATCATGGATGGAAGGTGCTAGTGTTGACCGTTGAGTCAATGCGCTACCTTTCTAGAAGGAGAACGGACATGGACGCCTGCATGTGTGGAATGTCCTCGCTAAAACAGCTTATTTTAACAAAATAAAAACTAACTTATAAGTAAAACTTATATATATTACGTAGTGACTTAAAAGCTACTCCCTCTGTCTCATAAAAACTTTATTTTTAGATTTATATGTCCAACGTTTGACCGTCAATTTTATTTTAAAAAAATTATGAAAAAAATATTAACGCATAAAGTACTTTTTATGTTTCTAGAAATAAAAAATATTAATCATAGAAAACTCTTAAATAAAACGAATAGTCAAATGTCATATCCAAAAATTGAAAAATAAAGTCTTTGTGTGATGGAGGAAGTAATGCTGAAAAAAAAACTACGATAAAAATATCTTAAAACCAACATCTAAATTGAGTTCAAAATTTAAAATTTTGACTTTACCTTTGTCTTATTAGGGTAACTAATGAGGCTCGGAAAACACAAATCACTCATCTTTCGACCAACTTTTTTAGAAAAAGAAACTGAATTTTGAACTTTTCGATAAAATTTAGTCGGGTTTAATCGGTTTATCAACAAATTTCGCAGAATCCGATGATATTGCTCGTGAGCGTATTTTGATCCGGTCCCTGGTCTAGGTATACAGTGGAAGAATTTTATTATTATTATTTACAAAACATAACTTTTCAAGAGACGTGGAAGGGGCCGCGCTAACACACGG